GTATTTACATTTCAAATATCTCCTCCTTCTAAGGGTTTTGCAGTCTGATTTAACGCAATGTGATGAAAATTCTCAAGTTAAGATACAAAATCATGCAAAAATCTAGAGTTAAATACTAAAGTATGCAATGCAATTAAGGAAACTCTACCAACCTTGTTATTGGAAGGTTTTCATTTACCCGGACAAAGCAAAGTTTTTCTATCACCCGTGGAATGAAGGGCAGTTCTCAAGTCCAGTTGGATTCTGAACTAGGGGAGCCTGGGCAGAGAAAAGTGGGCTTAGTCGTCTGGGTGGTGGGTCATGGCCATGGAAGAACAGGAAGTAGCTGTCTCAGGACTCAGGCCATGCTGGGGAGGGGCTGCTCTCCAGTGGGTCAAACCAGGCAGGCGTCTAGAGTGGGAGGTGTCCCCACCCCTCCGGGCTACGCCTTGTGTGTCCTTCACATCATGTACTTCAAGTGCAGGTGTGCTGGCCCGCAGGTTGGTCAGGAAGGCAGGGGCTGAAACGAAAGGAAGTGAGAGTAAAATGAGCAAAGACTGTGTTCTAGGCAGAGTTCATGGCAAACATTTTACTTACAGTATCTCGTTTTCAAAAAGTTGGTATGATACGTGTTGTTATTCCCCTTTCGCAGACGGGAAAAGCGAACCTCAAGAGCCTGGCGACTTGTGCAGGTCAGGTGCCTGGTCACCAGTACAAGAGAGATTCAAACGCTTACCTGACTCGTAAGCCTGTGCTTTTCTGACCCCTTACTCGTAGGGAATGCTGAGGGGATAAGGGCCTCTCTGGCAGCAATCCCAGAGGCCGTGTCCCCTTGGCAAGGTATTGGTCTTGCCTTTTGCGGTGCAGAAAAATAGAGGGAAACCACGTGTCTGAATGCTTCCCTATAGCCTGACCTGTGGTTTTTAGCTATAGGTTTCTGCCAGCAGAGAGTATTACCCACAGGCACTGTACTTATAATCGGACATTGTTCATTTAACTCCAGGGAAGGCAGGGAGGCAGCAGAATGCAGTATCCTCTTGAATGTTGTAGGAATACAATAAACACTGAGCAGAAGAAAAAATCTTAACATGCCCAGATGATGAAACAGCTGGTGTTCATCAAAGCATTCCAGTGGAAACCTTATGAAACTGCAAAAAATTCGGTTTAATCCTCACTGTCACCTCCCGCCCCTTGCCAGTAACTCTTGAAGAATAATGACATGAGAGATATTTCCAGTTTAGAGTTCTCCTCACTTTGTACCAACACTCCACAGTGAAGAGATTTCCTGCCCCTCTGCTCCTTCCTGACGCTGGGTGGTGCGAAGATGTGCAGTCAAATAAAACACAGAGGAATTAGGAGGCCTGGAGTCTAGTCCTAGTTAGCTGATAACAGTTGTATACTTTTGGGCAAGTAACCTGGGATTCTTCGGCCGCCATTACCTCACTGTCCAATGAGAGGATTTGTTAGATCAATGGTGTAGAAATTGAAACTTGAGTTTAGGGGACCTCATGCAATAGGAAAGATGCCCGGGCAAAAGGGGTTTGAATGACTTGTACAGAAACACAAAGCAGGAGAGGGTAGTAGAGCCATTTCTTCCCTTCTTTCCTCTTCACAGGAATGCCCAATAATTCTTTCGCTGATCATATCCTGTTCCTTGGGTGGTTTCAGACCAGTTATCTAACTATTAAAGAATAAAGCTAAAGGGATATGGGAAGAGGAGAGCATGCAATTTTGGGAGATGACAAGAAAATCTTTTACTTTGGGTATCTAATAGAGGTTTTTTTTTTCTTTTTGTTTGTTTCTTTTTTTTTCTTTCTTTTAATACAGATAAGGTAGGCATAGAACACCCCTATACCTTTATCATTGTAACATCTCTTTGGAAAAAAACCCTCCTTGATTATGCTAATGAGAGAAATACAAAAGAATTGTGGATATTAGCATTGAATTAAAGAAATCTAGCCCATCTTTGGCCCACATATCTTTTAGCCACAGAAGAGCCAGCCACCTTTTTGTCGTTTGTCTTTTTTATACGAGTAGGTATGAAAATGTTAACTTCAGATTCTGATCTGGTTATTTATCACTGTAAGAGCTGGCTAGCCTTTTCTTCTCTTTCTTTTCACATTTGCAATATAAGAATCTCTGTGTTAATAAATGCTTTAATTTGCAAGTGGCAGTAGCTCAACTTGAATGGTCTAGAGCAGAAAATGGGAATGTAACAGGTCATATAACCAAATTGTGTGAGGGACAGGGTCAAGCTCGCTTTGGGTGTTTCAAACTAGAATTCACATGCTTTCAGAATCTCCTGGCTTTTTCTCTATCATCTTTGTTTCTGCTTCTTGGCTGTATTTTTTCAGGTATTTGATTGCTCAGTTTCAGGCTCACATTCATTGAGTTTTTTAATCATAGGTCCCCAGAACTTCTCTCTAGAAGGCAAAAGAGGCTTCTGTCTCCCAGCAATAACTTGAAAACTTATGACAGAGGGTTCTGGTTGGTCTGGTTTGGATCTGATGCCCATCAGCAGGATGAGTGGATGTTGCGTGGAAATTTTCCTGTTCTATTGGAATTTCTGCTAATATCTGGGTTTCTTATCTTCCCATCTGACCCATCACCCAACTGCCACTAATAATTTTCATGAATATAAATCTAAACATGCTACTTCCTTGATTCCTGATCCATACAAGGTGAAATTCAAGGTCACAACAAGGTATATAAGGTCGTCACTGTCTGACTTCAGCCTTGGTTTCCAGCATTCATTCCTTTACATGTACTTTCAAGTCACTTTAGATTGTTTCCTCATGCCCGCTCCCTGCAAATGATGCACTTTCATACCACCACGCTTCAGCCTGGAATGTAACTCCCTGCTTCTTAATCTGAAAAACTCTTAGTTACATGTGTCTAATTCTCTGTCTAATTTTCCTAGATCTCCCTCCCATGTAGCTGTTCTCTCCGAAGTGTTTTGTGCACATCTCCATTATCATACATATTTTGTTGCATTATAATTATTTACTTATACATGTTTGTCATTTTTCAGGTTGTGAACTCTTCCAGATTATGGTATAATTTTGTTCAGCTGTGTTTTCCACAGCATCCAGAATAATGCCTAGAACTTAATAAGATCTTAATAAGTGCTTGTTGATAATAAGTGAACAAATGAATAGATAAAAGTATACTTCTAGACAGAAGATTAATAAAGAAGCAAAGGATTATAAAACTCTGAGTAAGTCTTCATGACCTTGGACTTGGCAATTGATTCTTAGATATGACGTCAAAAGTATCCAGATTAAAAAAAGAGATAATCTGAAAAAAAATTGATGTCTGTATATCTATGGCTGAATTGCTTTGCTGTACAGCTGAAACTAACATTTTTCAACCTACTACATTCAATAAAAAATAAGAATTAAAAAAATCTGTGAAAAAGAGGTAATTTATATATAAACTCTTTTTCAGGTTCTTTTTCATTATAGGTATTACAAGATATTAAATATGGTTCCCTGTGCTTTACAATAGATCCCTGTTGTTAATCTGTTTTTCATACAGTAGTGTGTATCTGTTAATCCCAAATTCCTAATTTATCCCCCACTCTGCCATTTCCCCTTTGGTAAACATAAGTTTGTTTTCTATGTCTGTGAGTCTATCTCTGTTTTGTAAATAATTTCATTTGTGCCATTTTTTAAAAATTCTACATATAAGTGATATCACATGATATTTGTCTTTCCCTGTCTGACTTACTTCACTTAGTATGCTGATCTCTAGGCCCATCCATGTCACTGCAAATGGTATTATTTCATTCTTTCTTATGGCTGAGTAATAGTCCATTGTGTTTATATACCACAGCTTCTTTATCCAGTCATCTGCTGATGGACATTTAGGTTGCTTGCATGTCTTGGCTATTGTAAATAGTGCTGGTACAAACATTGGGGTGCATGTATCTTTTCAAATTAAAGTTTTCTCTGGATATATGCCCAGGAGTGGGATTGCTGGATCATTTTTAGTTTTTTAAGGAATCTCCATACTGTTTTCCACAATGGCTGCACCAAACTACACTCCCACCAACAGTGTAGGAGGGTTCCCTTTTCTCTACACCCTCTGTAGCATTTAATAACTGTAGACTTTTTGATAATGGCTCTTCTGACTGGTGTGAGGTGATACCTCATTGTAGTTTTGATTTGCATTTCTCTAACAGTTAGTGATGTTGAGCATCTTTTCATGTGCCTGTTGACCATCTGTTTGTCTTCTTTGGAGAAATGTCTATTTAGGTCTTCTGCTGATTTTTTGATTGGGTTGTTTGTTTTTTTTTTGATATTGAGCTGGATGAGTTGTTTGTATATTTTTGAAATTAATTCCTGTCGGCTACATCCTTTGCAAATATTTTCTCCCATTCCGTAGGTTGTGTTTTCGTTTTGTTTATGGTTTCTTCTGCTGTGTAAAAGCTTTTAAGTTTAATTAGGTTCCATTTGTTTATTTTTCCTTTTGTTTCCATTACACTAAGAGATGGATCTAAAAAAAATTGCTGCCACAGAGTCCTGCCTGTGTTCTCCTCTAAGAGTTTTATAGCATCTGTTCTTCTTCTTTTTTTTTCTTTTATGGTGGTACTGAGGATTGAACTCAGCAGGGCATCATGAATGCTATGCATATGCTCTACCACTGAACTATATTCACCCCTATATCTGTTCTTACATTTAATAAAGACTTTTATTCATTTTGAGTTAATTTTTGTATATAGTGTTAGAGAATGTTCTAATTTCATTCTTCAACATGTAGCTGTCCAGTTTTTCCCAGCACCACTTATTGAAGAGACCATCTTTTCTCTATTGTATATTTTTGCCTCCTTTGTTGCAGATTAGTTGACCATAAGTGCATAGGTTTATTTCTAGGCTTTCTATCCTGTTCCATTTATCTATGTGTCTGTTTTTGTGCTGGTGCCCTACTGTTTTGATTACTGTAGCTCTGTAGTATAGTCTGAAGTCAAGGAGCATGATTCCTCCAGCACTGTTCTTCTTTTTCTAGATTGTTTTGGCTTTTGGGGGTCTTTTGTGTTTCCATACAAATTTAACATTTTTTTGTTCCAATTCTGTGAAAAATGCCATTGGTAATTTGCAAGGGATTGCACTGAATCTGTAGATTGCCTTGGGCAATATGGTTATCTTAACAATAGTGATTCTTCCAATCCTAGAACACCGTATATCTTTCCATCTATTTGTGTCATCTTCAGCTTATTTCATCAATGTCAAAAAGAGATAAATTTGACATCAAAATAAAAGAGCTTTCCTGAAGGACATTATCAAGAAAGTGAAAAGACAGCCTACAGAATAGGAGAAAATGTTTTCAAATAGCATATCTGATAAGGTCCTAGGACCCAAGGTATATAAAGTCTCTTAAAACACAATGACAAAAAGCCAAAAAACAATTTAAATATGAGCAAAAAATATGAATAGGTATTTCTTCAAATAAGATATACAAATGGCTAGCAAATATATGAAAATATGTTGAACATCATTATTCATTAGAGGTATACAAATCAAAACTACAATGTCTTACCACTCCACACCCACTTAGATGGCAATAGAAAGTGGAAAATGGCAAATGTTGGTGAGGATGTGGAGAAATTGGAGTTCTTATACATTGCTGATGGGAATGTGAAGTAGTTTAATCACTCAAAAATTTAAAAAGAGTTATCATATGACCCAGCAATTCTACTCCTAGGCATATACCCATTAGAAATGAATATAGATACTCAATTATTTATACATGAATGTTCATAGAAGCGTTATTCACAATAGCCAAAAGGTGGCAATAACTGGAATGTTCATCAATGGATGAATGGATAAACAAACTGTGACTTATACATACAGTGGAATATTATCAGCCACAAAAGGAATAAAGTATTAATATCTGCTACAATGAAGATGAATCTGGAAACATTATGGTAAGCAAAAGAATCCAGACATGAAGGTCACATACTCTATGTTTCCATTTATGTGAAATAACTAGAAAAAGTAAATACATAGAAACAGAAAGCAGATTGGTGGTTGCCAGGGGCTGGAGAGAGGGAGCTTTGGGAAGTAATAGCTTAATGGGTACACGGCTTTATTTTGGGATGATAAAAATGTTTTGGAACTAAGCAGAGGTGGTGTTTGCACAACACTGTGAATGTACTAAATGCCACTGAATTGTTCATTTAAAAATGATATATTTTATATTATGTGAATTGCACCTAAGGAAAAAAATGATGAGACATGAACATGTCTTCACAAAAGTAGTTCTTTATTACTGCAAATCTGCTTTAGTATAATCCCATATGTTTTTAAATCCTTGCCATGTAGAAGTTCAGGAGCTCAAAAGATGTTGAAACTCTTAAATCAAAAGTTGGCACCACTCCATATACCTGAGAGAATCTCAGAACTGGCCAGGAATGTGCTGATTCTTTGACATGCACATGCCTGCTCATGGTATACATCTGTCATTTGCAACACCTATTTCGATAATCAAACCTGCGACTTTTCAATTCTGTCAGCCCCAGTGGTCTGACCTCAGTTTCCTTTTGTTACGCCATTCTTTCTTTTCCTTTAGGATTTGGGTTTTCTTTCTTCTTCTGTGGAACTTTGTGGTCTGTAAGACTGAAGCAGAGGGAAAAAAAAAGACCTCTTACGATGAACCAGAAAATGGTTTGGGTGGTGAAGGCTCAGTGTAAATGAAGGGAATTGGACTTGGAAAGCCCACGGAACAGTGTCCAGCACTTGACATTGAAGAAAACCATAGCTCATGTGGTCCTGAGTGCATACAAAGCTCTGTTAAGCAACACCCACTCTAATTTATTTAGTCTAAGAGTTTCTTACTTCCCCAATGAGCTTTCAATAAGACTGAAAAATCCAATAGAGAGGTATTTGCTATGCTACCAAAAATTTAACCACTCTCAGCTTGGGAACAGTCTGTCCAAAGTGCAGCCAGCTTGGTCACATACTCTGTTCACTCCCTTTACTCTGGCTTCTTAGTGTGTTGAAACTATAAAGACACTTTCTTTTGTGAAGTTTCAATGACCACATCAGCTGACCCCCAGCAGTGTACAATGTTTAGAAATATTTTGCTCCCTCAAGTTTCCATTTCCTTGTTAAGTGCAATAAACTTGCCCAGAAAATGCTTCCATCAAATCCTGTCTTTGATTCTCTGGGGTTTCAGTGCAGTACGTTGTGTTGCTCATGACGTCATAGTCTCCATGGCAACACCCCAATGAGACTTTTCATGGTCAAAAGAAAAATGAATGCAAAGAAATTTCTGTTCAATCTTAATAGACTTGGTTATTTATTATTGAGAGAGGAGGGAGTGGGAAGGATTGACTTATATTACTTGAGGCTAACCACAGAAATTTTTAAGAGTCTCGATCAGTAATCTCCACTCTTCCAATTTCTTCCTTATCCTCTCCATAAAAGGTAAGGTAATGGAGCTCTTCTGAGGCTTACTTGGATAGCTATGCTGGGTACTAAGATGTGAAAAAGAACTTGACTGAGAACATGGGAGAGACCCCGTTGATCAGGTTCAAGGATTAAGACCACTGTCATGGTAAATGGGTTTCTTACTAACTGTGAGATCTTCAGCTAGTCAATCAAATTCTCTGTGCCAGTTTCTTGAGTTGCTGAAAGGAAGGCAGTATTTGTTTTGCGACCTGTAGAGGGTACGTTGTGAGAATAAAATATCTGATTTTTTAATCTCTCAGATTATGCATTTTTAGAACTCAACTAACAAAAAATATAATATAGTTGCTTTTCATAATTAATTATACAATTAATGATGCTTTCTTTCTAAGAAAAATACTTCCTGATAAAGAAGGGGTTTAGATAGCCATATTGTGCTATGTAACTGCCCTGCCACAGCTTAGAATTATGCATGTAAAAAAATCATAATACAGCTGGGTATGAAAAGAGGAGGTGAACAAGTGAAATTCCCTCTGGGATTTGTCCTGGAAGATTATAAAAATTAGTATCCAAAACTGAGAATTAAAGGGAGAGGATAGTCACGAGGAGGACCAGGGCCAATGGCAACTGTGAAAGTTATAAGAAAAAGAATGAGAATGAGGATACTGGGGAAGTAGATGTTATAAAGTAGTAGATTTCATGAGTTCAGTAAAAAGTACACAGAAAGAATGAAAAGGTTAAGTCAGTTGACAGCTAGAGAGAAATAGTTCATGTTGCAGAGAGAAGTAAAAACACGAGCGATACCACTTACTCAGCAAACGTTAATTGAGTGCCTGTTGTATAATGCTGAGCACCAGGGATTCGACAGGAAGACAGACACAGTTCTGATTTCATGGATACAATAACTGAACAAATTGTTACTTTAAAAAAGGTGTCCTAAGTACTCTGATAAAGAATATATTGGGTACTGCAGGCAGATGAAGAAAGACTTCAGAGAAACTGGCAATTTGAAGTTTTATTAGGGCTGACCTATTGGGCAAGTAGAAGTAATTCTGGTGAGAAGAGAGCAATAGTAAAAGATATTTTAAACTATTGAAAAAATGTGTGAAAAGGTTTGGTAGTGAGACATCAGCAGTTGTCCAGCACCAAGACACATGTATTTCTATGGTTAACTTCATTCTCTTAAGCTTTGCTTTCAGCAAAACATTGGCCTAAGGGTCTAACTAAAGCAAATGGATACAAGGCTTAAGACAGTTCATGTGACACTAAGATGTATAGAGACATATAAGACATTGTCCTGTTGTCCTGTTCTTAAGCAGCTTATGGTGTAAATGAGCAGATGCACTGTCAGTAAGAAATAAACACGAGATCTAAGAGTAAAAGGTGCTATATTCTAAATGTCGAGTTATAAGTATATAAGCATGTATAAGACAGTAAATGGTGTATGAAATCAAAGATGGAAAACCGTAAGTTTCGAATTATTAAATACAAACTTCTCTTAAAAAGAGATATTTTCTTTGGGATTACCGTGGAGCTTACATGAAACATCTTATCTATAACAGTCTGTTTTAAGCTGATAACAACTTCAATGACATAAACAACTGTACACTTTTAATTCCCCCACTTCCTTTATGCTTTTAATGTCACAATTGTTATCTTTTCATATTGTGTATCCATTAATATATTTTTATACTGATTGTTAATTTAAATAATTTTGTCTCTTAATTTTTATACTAGAATTGAAAGTGATTTACATAATTCCATTACAGTATTATAGTATTTTGTATTTATATATAAATATATATATATATATATTTACCTTTACCAGTGAGTTTTATACCTTTGTATGCTTCATATTTCTGTTCAGCATCCTTTAGATTCAACTTGAAGAATTCCTTTTAGCATTTCTTACAAGGCATTTCTAGTGGTGATAGACTCCCTCAGCTTTTGTTTGTCTGGGAGAGTCTATCTTTTTTAATCCCATGGTCATCTCAATAGATGCATTTGACAAAGTCGAATACCCTTTTATAATAAAAATTTGTGCCAAACTAGGAATAGAAGGAAATTACCTCCATATAATCAAGGCCATATATAAGAAGCCCACAGCTAACATCTTACTCAGTGATGAAAAACTGAGAGCTTTTCCTCTAACATCAGGAACAAGGCAAGGATGTCCAGTCCAACTACTTCTATTCAACAAAGTATGGAAGCCCTAGGCAGAGTAATCGGGCAAGAAAAAGAAATAAAAGGCATTCAAATCAGAAAGGAGGAAGTAAAGTTACCTCTGTTTGCAGATGATGTGAAGATCATGCTATAGTATATAGAAAACCCTAAAGACTGAACAAAAATGATGTTAGAGCAAATAAATAAATTCAGCAAAGTTGTAAGATACAAAATCAACAAAAAATCAGCTGTGTTTCTATACACTAACAACAAACTATCAAAAAGGAAATTAAATAAAACAATTTCATTTATAATAGCATAAAAACACTTAGGAAAAAACTTAACCAAGAAGATTAAAGACTTGTACATTGAAAACTATAAAAGATTGATGGATGAAATTAAAGATTACACAAATAAGTGGAAAGACATCCTGTGTTTATCTTTTTAAGACTTAATATGTTAAAAACACCGAACTACCCAAAGCAATCTACTGATTCAGTCATAAATGCAATCTCCATCAAAATCCCAATGGTATATTTTACAGAAGTAGAAAAAACAATTCTAAAATTCATATGGAGCCACAAAGGGCCCTAAATAGCTAAAAGAATCCTGAAAATGAAC